ATTTTATTTCTATATTATTTAACCTTTATTGAAGGCTAACTATGTGCCAGATAATGTACTAAGTACTTCCCATAGATTACTTTACTTAATAGTCGTATCAGCCTGTTCTGTAGCACAACAGCATAAGAGGCTTCAAGTGATTAAGCTGCTTGTCCAGAGATACAGAGCTTATGGGTAGGGAGAGCTGGAATACAAGATAGTCTAATTGAAGCCTGAGGACTTGATGGTTTCCAGATGATTGCATATTTTGCTAAGCTGTCTCAAATAATGTACAGCATGAGGTGGAATTATAAGTAAGTAAATGATTAAAATACACTGAAGTTTTTACAGATGTGCAATGGATCGCAGGATGGTATTCTAGGAAAAAAGCTATCATGTTAAAGATTCAACTTTTAAACTTAGTTTTCAACTTTCCTTCACATATTTATAAGTTTCTGAGATAGAATTTCCTATATGATTCAAGAGCTTTAATAATTAGAAAGTATCAACTATAGCACATTTTGCAGGGGACTATGGAATCAATCAAATGACAAGCAGTTATAGAATATCTTCCTATGTGCATGTCTCTTTGGAGAATTCAGAAAGTATAAGGCATGGCCTTTGCACTTAAGGGTTAAAACTAAATCAGGAAATAAACCTGGTATTTGCAAAAAAAAAAAGTTAGGTAACATAGTCCGTAAGTTTGAGAACAATTCAGAAAAAGAAGAACCAAGTATCAGATGCAATTGCCAGAAAAGGACTCCTGGAGCGTAAGACATTTAAAATGAATTTTGAAGGGACAAAATAACATCTGCTTTGAAGACAGGTTATATAAGAACTTTTAGTAACTGTAAAGCATGGGCATGATAAAGAATAAAACTGTTCTATTATAATTTATAAGACTATTCTGATGAAAAATTAATTTTAACAGTAACATCAATGACTTCCATATGCCAGTTTATCCACTGAAATACTAAACTTTGAGCATCTGTCTCTTTCTATTCACATGGCAAGCTACTGGTGTTCAGATAGAGTATTTCCAGCATGGATGATAACAGGTTGGAATCACGTTTAAAATTTGCACTATCAGATAAGGGGTGCACAGTAATCCTTTCATAATTTCTCCATGCTCTTCCAGAACATGAGAGGAAGGAAAACCTGGCTCTCACCCAGCTGAATAGGCATACTGAATTAGAGAATAAAGCCTCATGAATGTCACTTCAAGTCTTCCTACCAGTGACATTAGAAGACTATCATGCTATACACCAGAAATTGACACATTGTAACTGACTATACTTCAATTAAAAAAAAAAAAGAAAGAAAAGAAAATTTAAATTTTAACTGGGATCCCACTGATTGAGCATCTATCCTGCAGAGAAGGACCTGACACAGATCTCATCTTCATCCTTCAGTGCTTGGGCCATTAATTCAAGTTCCACAAAAGGACCTCTTTAGTTACAGCAGCCCTGGGCTGGCTTTACTCTCCTTAAATGGTTTTTAATAGCAAGAATAATCTGGATCATATTCATCTCAAAGTCTTGCAAGGATTCACAAGCAACACCCACATAAGAAGAAGCATAACAAATTTTAGCTTGATTTTTATCAAAAGTGTATACTCCCAGTCACAATCAAGAATATGTTTAAATGCTTCTTATGCAGAAGAAAAGGAGAAAATAACTATAGGTTTTTAAAATGAGATCTTGAAAAATAAATAAAATAAATATAAACCCCCTCCACTGCACCAAGCAATGCTTTTGAGGCACTTAGATCCACTGTCTCTTTTTAAAATAAATTGCAGGCTCTTTATGAGCAGGAAATACATCTTCTGCTTCTTTGTCTGTGGCACCAGTTGCCTACTGAGTAACGAGCTTGCTGCAAATGATAGGTGAACTGCTAAAAGGCTAAAGAGAATACTGGCTACTAAATGTGAGGAAAACCATGGGGAAGAAACACCCTCACAATCCTCAACAGCATCCAACAGGCTTACCTTGACCCCAAAATAGACACCCACATAGCCTCCTTCCCAGGGGCCCAGAAAGGAGGAAATCTGCTCCATCCCCATCCCATCTGCTAATGATTACCAGCATGGCCTGAAGAGACGAATGTTGAGATCTTGATCAAGAGCTTGAGGAATGAAGGATAACAGGGAATCTGCCTCCATCAGTTACAGGCAACCCAAAGAAGGAAGAGATGGGTGGCCAGAGATAGGGGATAAAGCACATCCCTCGTCTCCTTCCTGTCAGTTCTCCCCTAGGTGGTCCTAGTTCTCATGGAGTTTGGGGGATGACAGGATGAAGAGCTAGACCTCACCTTTATTTTTTAAGAAGACCCTCTTGTATTGTGGGGGACGCTGATTGGGTATCAAAGAATGGAAGTGCTGACTGCTGAGTGGCACAACCACCAATGATGAGAGCCCACATCCCACCCCGGGCCCTCCCTTTCAAGACTGAGTCTTCAGTAATCGGCAGGCCGCTGTTCCAGTCAAGGAACAGAGGGGCCTCCATCATGACAGTGGGCTTGTCCTGTAATTAAATCATCCCGTGTTTTGTCATCATCCCTTGTCCTACTGAATCCTAAGTAAAGCTGCCTTCAAGCACAAGGACTCCAAAGTCATTTGGACAAGCCTTGTAGACATGGAAGAACCCAGACTGCAAAAACAAACTGTTCAGTCAGAGTGTGTTCCTATGACACAAGCTGTATTCCCCACGGATGGCCCACTGTTTTCCGAGGGCTGGGCACAGGTCAAAGGCAAGGGACATTTTGTTCTATGGCCCAAATACTCGGCATTCTCTTCTGCCAGGGACAGAGCCATCCCCTGCAGTTTGAGACACAAAGAGCTCTCTAGGACTGGTCACAGGGCCCTCGGTTAGATGTGGAGACTATTTACAGATTCTCCCTTTTCACTGGCTTCAGATTTCTACCAGCACCAGGGACATAAAGTGAAACACAGACATACAGGCTGCAGCCTGCCACAGGAAGCAGGGTAACTGCCCTGAATGAACATAAGTGTGTCTTATAAAATATGTCCTGGGTCAGCAGCCTGGGATGGCAACCCATCGCGCCCCAGGCACAGCCTCCCTCTCCGCTCCCCACTTCCCTGCTCTGCCCGCGGCGGTCCTCCGCGCCAGAAGGCCCAGGACACCTGGTGGACTCCTCCTCACCCTTCAAAATCCAGCTCCTCTATGATTTCCCTGGGGAATCTTTCAGTGATATCTTCATCCTCCCACTCTCTGCTTCACGGAGCTCACCATCCCCTTCGGAGAGCCCCTTCCCAGTTACTTGGCACATTTTTCTGATTCCATCTAACATGCCATGTAGCAATTATGTGTTTACATATCTGACTTCCAGAACAGACGGTGAGATCTTCATGCCTAATATATACTGTTGGGTTTTTTTTTTTTTATTACATTCCCAGCACCCAGCATGCTGCCTGACTCCTGGTAGCTATTTAATATGTGATAAATTAACAGGCAAAAAGAGTTTTTCAATTCGCAACGTTTTTTATTTTTACAAAGCTTCTCTCTTTTGTTCTGCTTTCTTAAATCACTAATGCAAACCATCCTTTTTCATCTAATTCATATTAAATTAAAAAGGAGAAAAAAGGTATATGCATATATTATTACAATAGGTATACCAGTCTTTTTTAAAGTAAGAGTCTGCAGGCTGTGTCATTCCTGTAAATGAAGCAGTTAAGTCAGGTGAAGATCCCACCCTGCAGAACAGAGCAAGAATCAGAGGTGGGACACCCCCAAGAGCTGTGTGGCACATAACTTGTTACTGCACAGTTCCTTCCTGCAGTTCAGTCTGTGCTCTGTTGTTCTTAAACGACACAACGCTGAGATGTCTGGCCCTCCCCAAAACTATCCTAGAGTTCTAATTATTATAAACAGTAATTTCTTCTTATAAGACCAAATTTCCATTTCTCTATATTTATAAACAAAGCCTCCTTTCATCAATTACACCATTGCATCAGATCTGAGAAAAATCACCTTTAGAGTGTGTAAATATTTGAATTTTATCATTATAATGTGAATATAAATTAAATCTCCTTTCAATTAGGACAGGATTTTTTTTTCTGTCATTGCCACGATGGGATCTGATGAATGAGCTTGCATTTCGCACACTTTGTTTAGATGTATGACTGTGAGTCTTTCATCTCATGACAAAGAATTAATTATGTTGATTGTGCTGAATTTGCATCCTCAGGGTTAGGGAAAATGATAATGGCAACCTATAAAGCTAATGAAATTGTATACAATCACAGACTATTTGGTACAATTAATGATTTAGGAGCTGAGTCTACTCCAAGCTTGAGTCCTGAACCTTAATTTTAATCATAATGCCAATCACCAAATGTTTTAACCAAGCTGCTAACAGAGCTTCTCAGGATATTATATGCACTGACATGAACAGAAATCCATGTTTTCATTTCCCTTAAGCCACATGGAAAGAGCCTCCTAGGGATTTTTTTTTAAGTTATATGTTGAAGGGAAACAGTCGAGTGAAACAAAGAGAATTCAGGTCAAGATATCTGAGCAAAGATTTTAAAAGTTCATGGGAAAACAATAGTCTGAATATAAAGCTTTAGTTATAAATCACTAGATGTGATCAAAGTAACTGAAGAAATAAAATAATTATTATAGCCTTTTTTTGCAGGTTAACCTACAAAAACAAAAACGCCAAAATCTTTAACAAATATATCTTCGTATATTTAAAACCACCTTTGTATGTGTTCACCTAACAACTGTACATAAGCTTATTGCAGAGTTCCTCTTTCTTTGTTTAATCACAAGGGTGTGGGACAAATTGAGCTTTGTTGGCTCAACAAACACAGAACACTCAGAATAACTGAGTCAGCTGCCCTGACGTCCGTCACCTCTTCCTTAACAATCACTTCAAAATCATATAAAATGTAAGTCTGCCCTTCCTTCGCAGAGTCAGATGCTCAAGGCTACTGAACTTTCCTGTAGTCATAACTTAGTCAAGTAGAAAAATAATTCTAATTCCAGCTGTTAACCTACCTTGAAGAACTTCCATGGGGAGAACAGTCCAGGCATTTTCCAGGTAGGAAATATAAATATAGCGAGCCGTATTGCAGGCCAGGCCAATGTACAGAACCCTAAAAAGAACCAAGGAATATAAGTTGAGGCTCCAGTAGAGATAAAACACACAAACATCACCTACATTTTCCCCTACCCAAAACATCCATCATCCAGCAGACAGTGTTCCAAACTCAGGAGTGGGGGAGCTAACGGACAATTAAATTTAACCATGAACTCTGAGGAGTAAGAAGAGTGCCTCCAACATACCTGCCCTCAGTCTTTTCAAAACGCTTGTTAATATAAAAGTGAACATCACCCTTCCTGAAACTTAATTAGTAGCAGAGATGATGCTTTTGTAAGATAGTCTGGGCATACTGCCATCTCTAATGACACTGCTGGCTTCCTTCCAGGTGGCTACAGGGTAAATATGCCTGGGATTGTAGCCACTTCACCATGAAGAGGGAAGGACAGGAAAAAAAGAGAACACGTGCATATGTGGCCTCACGTGCAATAACCAAGATACCAAGCAGTTTCACAAAGACACTCTCAAGGTCATTGAAAACTATCATCCAGGGATAAATAATAAACTATTTGGAAATCAAATACTTCTTCCTAACAATTAATTGATTCAAGTTCATTACTTAGGAGAAACAATCCATGAGATCTATCACATGCTTACAAAACTGGTAATACATATCAGCCTCTATCTTCCCCCCTCACAATCACCACCTCCAAAATTAGGAATAAAAACAAAATAAATAAAGGCCTAAAATGGTGAGTCCAAGCATAAGGTTACGAGCTCTCTCATTCTGAACCGGACAGGTGGTTTGGAAGCAAATAGCGGCTGCTTCTCTTTACAAAACATAGCCCAACGGTAGGGACTGCTTTTTCTCGGTTGTTTTCCGTTTTCTGTTAATTTTCCCAACCTTAATGCTTTTGTTGTTTTCTAAATCCAGGTGGAGGAAAACTAGAAGGTAAAAGAAATAAACCAATATGACAATCAGTGGTCTTTTCCTAATCTTGCTCAACTGTATTTTTATATTAAAATCATTCCTATAAATGGTGTTCTCTTTTTCTAACTTTGGATCAAGGAAAGGAAATGTTCTGAGGCATCCAGCTGGTATTAACTGCAAATACAGAACAGAAGACAGGGAAATACCAAAAAAAAAAAAAAAAAAAAGCATTGAAGGGTAGGGATGGGATAGGAAATGGATATTAGAAGGGATTTAGGAGAACTTCAGTAATGAAAAGGTCTAGATTATCACATTCTGTGGACATTATGTCTTTTTTTACTTTTTTCCTCAAAACATACAAGTATGTTTCGGTCCTGTTTGATAAAAAAGTCTGCTGAACAAACTTGCTATAAATCCATCAACCAGGGTACCTCTGCTAGGGAACAACAACAACAGAAAGCCCACAGGAAGTTAAAATGCAAAGTACGCTATACAAACACACGAGTCACACAAATATGTTTCCTCCTAAATTCTAAACCAGCTCTGCTGGTGACGTCAACTTAGCCTAACGCAGGGGCAGCAGACATTTTCTAGGGCCATACAGTGAACAGTTTAGGCTTGCAGCTCTCTTGCAACTACTCAACTCTGCTGTAGTAGCGTGAAAGCAACCACCGACGATACGTAAATGAATGAACATGGACGGCTGTGTTCCAATAAAATTTGAATTATAAACACGGAAATTCAAATTTCATATGCTTTGTCATGTGTCACAAAATAGTATTCCTCTTGTGACTTTTTTCAACCACTTAGAAGTACAGAAAAGTATCCAGATCCAACCCCGGGGGTCATAGCTTGCCCACCTCTGGCCTAGCTCATTAGTTCTTACTAACTCTGTCCGCATATCAGATTTACTCGGGTAGCCATTAAAAACTACAGATGTTGAGGCCCACGCTACTCTCAGTTAAGGCTCTCCAGGATTGGAACCCAGGCATCATGCTTCTGAAAGCTCCCCAGGTTAGTCAGACACTGAGCCAAAAGGTGGAGAACCACTGATCTAGCTCACTCCAACAGCTCCCAGGAATTCTTTCCGGTTATCTCATCATAAAAAAAAAATGTGGTAATACATCTTCCTTGTGCTCACATTGCCTATCCTGAACCTTCCTTTGGAGCCCACTTCTGAAGCAGGGTTACCATGACAACTGTTATTCAATCTAGGCCATAGTCCACAGGCCCTGGCCTACAGTCACCCAGAGCCAATCAGCCCAGCTTAAGAGGCAGCCTGTGCTATGCCGTCAAACCCCTACCCGCATGGAACTCAGCCACTGCAGTCCGGAACACCTGGGACCCTCAGGTCTCGAGATGCCACCAACAAGCCCAGCAGCTATGAGCTTGATAATATCTTTCTTTTCCACGTTTCTAATCTCACAACTGATAGTCCTTCAGGACCAAACAGATGCTTTAAAGGAGAAAACACAAAATAAGAAGTATCCAGAGCGTGTTAGTTCATCTCTTTGATCCCTAATTTCCTCATATATCAAGCAGATAATAACATCGATTCTGCAGGCTTGTTGTCATAATTACAACACAATGAGCTGCCAATAAAAAGCACTCAATAAGTGGTATTATTATTATTACTACTTTAAAGAACAGTATCCAAGTGCCCTTTTGTTTTCTGATACAACTTTTACCTCTTAATTCCAAAAGAGAGGAGCACCAGCATTCCTTTCTCACCAACCGTTCTGGAGAAGCCAGTGGCTTCAAAAAATCAGCAAGAGTAAGTAAAATATGGGCAGAAAGGAAGGCAGCATTTTGATCTATGAAAAGGGGAAGAAGTAGACACATATTTATCAAATAGTCACTGAAAAATATTGCAGCCACCCAAGACTCTCTTTAATATTTGAATGGGACAGTTAAACTGCTGTATTCACTGTATTCACTGTTATGGGCTGAACAGTGTCCCCCTCTAAAATTCGTATATTAAAGTCGTAAATGCTAACCCCGCAGTACCTCAGTGTGTGGCTGTACTTGGAGACAAGGGCCTCTCTACAGGTAATTACGGTAAAACGATTTTATGAGGGTGGACCCTAAGCCAGTGTGACTGGTGTCCTGATAAGAAGAGATTAGGAGACAGGCACAGAGGGGAGACCAGGCGAAGACACTTGGAAGATGAGCTAAGGGGAGAAATCCTCAGAAGAAATCAATTCTGCCAACACCCTGATCTTAGACGTTCAGCTTCCAGAACTGTGAGGAAATAGATTTGTGTTTTTTTAAGCCATCTAGTCTGTGGTACTTCGTTAAGGCTGCCCTAGCAAATGAGTAACTCACCCTCACCAAATTAAGGATCTGCTAATAAAAAGGAACTTATGTTTTACAAGATCATCTTCTGGACAATCAGGTTCGTTATGCTGAATACAGAGCACACATTTGGGGTCCTAGCAGTTTCCTGAGCCTTAAGAGGTCTGGAAATACAGAAGAACAGTCTAAACCATGTCTTGCCACGAGATGCAGATGCCTACTGAGCACCTACAGTGACACAGCTCAGAAACATCACTGCTTTCTTGTGTCACAACAGGAAGCCAGTAGGTACAAAAGCAGGCAAGAAACAAAGGCGATTTTAAAAACAGACGGTACAGACAAGTGAGCTTATCCACAAAGAACACAACTGGTAAAAGGGGCGAATGATTCAGCAGAAAACACTGCATCACAGAAAACCCAAATCACTTGTCAAACTCCTTGATTCTGTATTTGAGCAAAATGTAGTGGTAGGAGAAAAATGCTCATGAGATTCTAATTTCTTACAAAACCACAATTCACAGTGTTGGCAGAATAAGTTGATTGGTGATTATCTTATAATAAAACTGGTACTCTTTTCCCAGAAAGACAGAATTCAAGATACAGATACATGTGAATCATCCTGCAATTTAATTATGATGCCCTACTTTTCTAATTTAAAACATCTATATAATATGGCTGAATGTCCCCTAAGAATGCTTCTAAGCCACAAAAAACATGAATTTTGCTCAATAAATTAACTGAGATACCACTATGTACCATACACTATGCTGGACTGAAGGGGAATAAAAATGAAGAGAAATCCTCTTTACCTTTGAGGAAATTACACTCTAGTAAGGAGACAGACACACGAGCAAATAAATACAATATTGTAAGAGGTCTGCACAAAGTGCTACGGCAGCACAAAGGAGAGGTTCTTAGCTACCCCGGGGGGTTCCAGGACACCTGGGTTAGAAGCAAATGGACAAAGGGACAGGGATAAGCATCACAGGCAGAGGGAACCACAGAAACAAGGTTAACCATAAAACCTCAAGGATTTGCAGACAGAGAGGGTATTTGAAAAATATAAGGATCAAAGTCTAAGGACTTACAAAGAGATGAGTGAACTTCTCAAGCCCAGATCCACCTGGAAATCATTCTCTATTCCAGAGATAATACAGGGTATGAGCAGCAAAGAAGGACCTAAGCAGGATTACCCTACAAGGCTCTCAGATGTGTGAGACAGAAGAGCAGCACCAGGCAAGGAGAACCCATTCTCAGCCAAATAAGTAATCGGCAACAAGCATTTTGCAAAGCCTCTATCAGAGAAACAGAAAAGGTCCTCAAAATAGAAAAAGCACTGGAGAAAAACAAAATACCCTGGATGAGGATGGCTTTTATTAACCAGAAGTGGAGAATTTGCAGATGCAGACTGAACATGCTCTCAATCTGTGTTACAAACCGTCGCACAAAGATGCACATTCCAAAGCACACAAGCGTTGGTCTGGGGCCCGGGCGAAGATGAAGGTAGACCAGCAACAATCCAAGATTCAGAAAGTAGCATTTCGAAAGGTTACAGACCACTCAGACGATGTCCTTTGCTACACCTGGCTAGAATTTCATTAGGAACACGACTTCCTCATGAGAAAGAAGTGGTCATTAATATCAGATATTTGGAGCACAGCCTTTAGTCTGCCTCATATGAATCATCTTAGGTTTTCTATGGTGAACAGTATCATCCTTCTACGGTCTATAAGGACTTGTCAGTTAAAAAAAGAACCTCCTGCAGATATTGTTACAGATGTCTTTGTAGAGCTGGCAAACATCAGCTGCTAACGAAGGTCAAGATCCTG